TGGGGATAGTAATACTTACCTACCTACCTCACAGAGGTGTTGTGAGGCTGAATTCATTAGGCCCTGAGTTTTAGCTGGATCTTAAGTCAGCTTCCAGTCTTGCAGCTGACTACCTGAACGGTGAGTGCAGGCAGCTCTGTGGACGTACTGGGGTACGTTGCTGATGCAGAGAATTGTTGCACTTAGCGTGGCTGGATGCTCTTGTTGAGAACGTGGATCTGATAATTTGTGATTTTCTTAGGGATCTTGGAGGAAAAGCATGACAGCAGGGCAGAGATTCAGTTCTGATACCGAAACATGAAATTGCTTAGGCTCAGCTTGCTCACAGGGCGTAATCAGATGCTTGCTGTGAGAATATTCTGGAATCTGCTGGTTTTGGAGGAATGTTTTGCTTTTTGTCGTCGCAAGAAATGAACACAAGCACTAAAGGTGAAGGATGTTGGGCTGGGTTTTTACAACCAGCTTACAAGGGAGGTAGGATCACCAAAGTTTCAGTGCAGAGAGACAGAAGGAGTAGTTAGTTACTCACCTATTCATATGCAATGTAGCAGAACAGTTGAGTTAATCTGTTCAACTCATATAATGCAAGTTATTTGTCTGTACATGACATCTTCCTGTGATGGTTTGGTGCTAAACATCACCTTCGTGTCATTTGGCAGGAAAAATTAGAATAGGGGGCCAAAATGAGTCAGCACAGTGTCTGCCCCTTGTGGAGACAGTGATGCTGCTGATCGTGCCACTCCTGTGGTCACGGGAGTGCTGAGAGACTTCATGTGACCTGCTCTGTTTCTAACCAGCATAACTGTTTTGAAACGACATCCCAGGAACACCCAGGATGGAAGTGGGCAGCTTTTTGTTTATAGCAACAGCAAATACTCCCTGTAGTGCTGCATAACATGCCAGAAATAAGCCTCTTTGTTGTAGTTTACTTCCATAACTAAAGGATCTTTTAACCTGTAAAAATTCTATGCTGCCATTTTGGTACAACCCATTTCCGTACTCCAGCAAGTTTCATGCTGGCTTAAAGCTTTCAGACAGAGCTAAATCGGGGAGGGGGGTGTGTGGGGAGTGGTTCTTCTGTTGTTGTTTTTAAGGAGGGGGGAGCATTAGAACCAGGGAAGGGTTCAGATGTAGAGAAAGTTCAGTATTTGGGAATTTGGTGTTGTATAAATACGGAAGGTGAGTGTCACTAGAACAAGTCTTTTGGGAAATTGGTCTCTGTTGACTTGGCACAGGGCACTTCCATTGGCTTGCCATGAAATGCATGCTTACTCGTGGCTGGGAGACACTGCACACACCTTGTGCCTCACTCCTCCACCCCCTGAATGAGAAACAACCCTTTCGTGAGGAAAAAAGTTTTATCAGGCTTGCCCAATATGTGGAGAAATTCAGGATATGAAAATCACGTATTCTCCGTTTGCTATTAGAATTCCTTCTGTGGAGTTGATGCATTTGTCGTTGTTGTATTTGTGCATGGTACAAGTGACAACACTGCATAATACAGTGAGCAATAACAATTAGGTATTAACCACTTTCACATTAAACCTGCCACGTGCAACCATTCCCCAAGGCCCCATAGAGTGTTTTGGTTTTGCCCCATACTTTTTACTGTGTGAGATTTCAGATTTTTTATTGACTGTCTTTAGCTCCAGCTAAATGGGAACAGTAAACCATCTCTCTGATCAAAATCTAGTTTAATTTGATTTTGTTGGTTAGCCTGTACCTCTGGCCTGGTATTTTCTTTCTCTTTAATCCTACCTTACTGAAACAAGGAAAAAGCATTGAGGAGGTGCTATACCCACGCATATCACTCCAGGCCATATTTCCTTTCATTAGGTCAAACTCGCTCCGTGAATATCTCTTCCAAGTTGCAGAACAGATCCAGGGGCACAGGGGTGTCTGTGAATCTGTTAGGAAACACTGGTAGTTTCAGCTGGATGGTGATAATGGGTTTGAGCAGTTCTGGGTTCATTGCATTGCCAGGCTGCCCCGGAAGGGCTGCACATGTGTGTGGACGCTCGTCCCCTGGGCTGCAGAACACCTTCAGAAGAGCGCTGGAGATGGTGACCCAGAGAGGACGGTCAGCAGAGAGTTCCCAGCAGCAGCCCTTCAGCACTTGCTCTCCCTGTGTGCAGTGTTAGCCATGTTTGGCCTCTATGGACTTTCTATGTAAATTAAAACTCTGTTTCCAGACAGCATTAAACTTTTTATATTATGAAATTTACCATGTAAAAAGATTTTCATATTTTTATTGAAATTGCTAAGGCATTTGGCCTTCCTTCTTTGTGATTTCAGTGTCTATTAAAGCATGAGTTCTCTCAGTGCCTCAATCTCTTGGTGTAGGAGGGTGTTGGGGAAGGGTGTTTGTTGGCTCACTGCTCTCTGCCAGCACCCAGCTTTGTGCATCCCGTGGCAGAGTGTGGCAGACACTCGGCAGCTCTCAGCTGCCTCTGCAAACTTCCTCCCCTTTTTGTGCAGTGTAGTGTTCCTGTTAACAGTGCTCATTGGAAATTGCTTTTCCTTTTCCTAACAGGTGGTGGGAGCATCACTATTTGCTGGTCTCTGTCTTGTAGGCGGCAGCAAAAGGACGCAAAGGGCTGGGAGGAGCTCCAAGAGTTGCCCGGCTCCAGCCCTCCAGTGGGAGAACCCGGTGCTGGAGGGATGACTCTCCCTGTACCAATGCCAGCTGGAACCTGCTGAGTTAACTCTTCCCTCTGCCCCCACGTGAAAGGTGCCCTTGTGCTTAGGGGAGGTGTTGGGGACAGAGGAAACTAAACATGCAAAGGGGCCCTGGGGCTGCAGGAGGCTCAGCCTCTGACAGCAGGCAGGAGCCACCGGCAGCGCTGGTTGTGCCACAGGGGGAGCCTGGGCTGGAGCTCTGCCAGGAGGAGCAGCTCCGGGGGGAGCGTCCCCTCCGGAGCGGGGCCGCAGTGGAGCCGCACGGGCTGGTCTGAAGTGGTTTGTGCGTGCAGGGCCGGGGTCAGTGGCTGCTCAGTGACGCTGCCCTGTGTGGCAGGATGCAGGGAGCGCACGCTGCAGCTGGCTGAGCACACACCAGACAAACCTTGTCCATATGGGGAAGAAGCAGCAGCAGGGGCTGCATGCTGCCAGTGTTTTGAAAAGCCAAATAAAGGCAAATCCCAAAGGCATGAGAACTTGGGGAAGCACAGGCTCACAGCCCCCCTAAGAGGCCCCAGCACAGCCTTGGTCACTGCCAGCCAGCCCCGAGTCTGGAAGTGTGTCCATAGGCAGGGTTTTCTGTACAGCCATTTATCTGTGGTGGGGGCAACATGGAATTTTCTTACCTGTGGATTTCTGCACTCCATTAGCTTGGCTCCTGGGAAAGGTGGGGGATGATGCCTTTTCCAGGGAAAGAGGAGCCAGGGGTGGTGCAGGAAGGGTCATGAGTCACGCCTGGGGAAGAGGATGTGCCATGGGAACACGAGTGGTGCTGAGGCCAAGGCTCAGACAGGAGTCTGCAGCTCTCCAGGAGGCAAAGGCCTGCCCTGGCCAGTGCTGGGCACCAGCAGGTACCACAGGAGAATTAAAATGCAGCAGCCACCCAGAAATGAGAAATGTGCAGTTGAGCTGCCTATGGGGCAATAGTTGACCACAAGCGTGCCTTTGAAGTTACACTTTCTCTTGCCAGCCCTGGGGCAGCACTATTCACCAGGACTCCCAGGTGGGAATGCTGTGAGGTTCCACATCCAGGCCTGTTTCCGTTTCAACAACAAAGTTCCACCCTCCCCGTGACAGGCCTGGAAATGTTGTGGGGTAATTTTTTTTTCTTTCCAGTTTATCTGGTTTTACATTTGTTGTGAGCATTTCAAACAGAGGAAAGCAGATGTGCTCTCTCTGCATAGCTGTGGAAAGTATCTGGGGGGAAAAAATGAAAGGCAACGCTCAGAAAACAGAAAGCAAATCAATATATTTAGAATACATTAAGTAAATACTTTAGTTCTACCTGAATTATGTTTTTTGAGAACCCCAAAGTGGAAGTATAGTTACCTGGATGCTTTGTTCTTAGGGCGACATTTTGCCACAGGATGAACTTCCGTCACTATGGAAACCAGGAAAAAGCCAAATACAACACACAGAACCTGCCCTGGGTGGTCCCTCCCCTCTGTCCCAGAGCCTGGAGCCCCGGTAGAACTTGTCCCCGCCGCACAGCCCAGCACCCCTGAGCTACCACGGGAATTCTGCTCCTTGAGGATCAGTGTTCCAGGCTCCTCACAGCCTGGAGGGGCTCCACGGAATGTTCTACTTTCGAGGCTGAGTTCACCCTTCTTTCAGTGCCCCTGAGCTCTCCGGCCTGCAGGCTGCTTCCAATTTTTTTGTTTTTAATGACAGCTGATGGTCGAGCGTTACCTGTGGGACCAGCGGCGGCAGGCGGGGCTGAGCCCCGGCACGGCCGAGCCTCGCTCTTCCTGTGGGGGTGCCATGTCCTTATTAACTCCTGGTGTCCCCGTTACTTGTGACTGCGATGGAGGATACAGGAATGGCCTCACCAGAGGGCGGCACCGGCCGCGGTGACAGCCTGGGATGGGGCCAGGAACGCGCCTGCCCCCGGCTGGGCACCGCGGCTGCAGGGCCGGGTGCGGTTCCGTTCGCGTGTCCGCCGGGGGCAGCGCGGGGGCGGCAGCGACCCGCGGGAGAAAGGTTTTGCTCGGAGGACTCGGGGGGTTCCAGCTCCCCCCGCCCGGCAGGGGCTGGTGCCAGGGCTCGGTGTGAGGGCGGGGCCGGGCCGGGCCGGGGCGCGCAGTCCCCGCGGCAGAGCCCGAGCCAGGCCCGGGCAGCGAACGGCGCGGCCGTTACAGCGGCTCCGCCCCGCGCCGGGCCCTGACGTCACCGCGCCGGCCGCCGGGAGCGCGCGGCGCGGAGGGGGGAGGGGGCCGGCCCGGCGGCGCGCTGCGATTGGCCGCTCACGGGTGAGGTGTGCGCTCGCGGGGGCTGCGCGCCCCGCGATTGGCGGCGGCCGGCGCACGCGCGCGCCCCGGGGGGCGAGGCGCGGGCGCGATTGGACGCGCGGGTGTGGGGGGGGCGGGGCCTGGCGCGGGAGCGGCGCGTGCGCGGAGCGACGGGAAGATGGTGCTGATCAAGGAGTTGTGAGTGGGGGCGGCGGGGGCAGCGCGGGGGCTCTGAGGGGACCCTGGGGGGCTCTGAGGGGACACCGCGGGGACCCGACACCGTCCCTGCCGCCGACACCGCCTCTGCCACCGCCCCCGCCCCGCCCGGCCTCCCGCCCGGCCTCCCGCCCGCGCCGCTCCCCCTGGGCCGCGGGGCCGCTCCGCCCGCCCCGCTCCGGCCGCTCCGCACCGCAGGCACACGGCCCGGGGACTCCTCGAGTGCCGTCCCTCGGGCCCCGCCGTGCCCGGGCGGCGGTGCCGCGGGGAGCGCGGGTCCCGCGGGATTGCTCCCCGTTTTCCTTGGGCGGCCGTCCTGGAGCGGGGCCAGGGCCCTTCCCTGCCCGCAGCTCTCTGAACTGGCGGCTCCGGGAGCTCCTGGGGAGGTCTTCCCGTGGGGGCTTCTGCCAGCGAACTACCAGCTGGTTTGCTCCTCCGTCCCACCCTTTGGCTTTAGATTGCTTAAAAGTCTAGTAACTGCAGTCTCAGTGGTAGTAAAGGTTCAAAAACTTAAACTAAGCACGACATAAAGTTATGGCAGAGGTGGAAGTAGATCCCAAATTTCCTGACTGTTTTCTGCAGCTTCTGACATCCTCCACCCCTTGTTTTTCCTTTCATAATGTGTCTGCCATTGAACTTCACTTGGGTTTGTTGCATTATACCCAAAGCCTCCCTGTCAACAGAGCATTTCCAAAGAGAAAACTTGAATTAGCTCCTTTTGACACTTTCTTGAATGCTTGTGTTACATTTCATATTTGTTATCCGCAGATGAAGCATAATGATTCATTTTGTTGAATTTGCTCTTTTCCAGCCGAGTGGTTTTACCTTGCTCAGTGCAAGAGGTACGTCCTGGTGCTCCCTGCTTTGTTTGGCTCGGGGGTGGGGTGGGGTTGTGTGGGGTCCAAATTGCCCCCTGTGCTGTGCCTGCCAGAGGGGAGTGACACAGGCATGAGCCCCCTTCCTTCCCATCAGGGAATTTCCAAGGAGGCAAATGCAGCACAGAGCCTTGAGCTGGTGTATGAGCCCTCCACTGCCACCTGTGCCACTGTGCCTTGTGGCAGCACTTTCCTGCTGATCAGGCACTGAGGGACTCCAAGCCTTTTCCTAAAGCCAAAAGTCAGAATTGTCCTCTCAGATGTGAAGCCAGCAGTTCAAATGGCACTGGGGTGCACTTAAAGGAGAGGCGTGACAGGGGGTCTGTCGTGACAGGGGGTCTGAACACACTCCTACACTTGTCCTGCAGTGTGTGTTTCACAGGTCCTGGGAGGGCAGCATCTAGTTGTTTAAAAGTTTGAACTGGGGAGGCTTAGAGCTGGAAATCAGTCATTTCAAAATCTGTAAACTCAAAATATGTGTTTCTTTGATGAAATGAAGAACAACAAATACACTTTGTTCTTAGGATGGGGAAAACGAAGCATAGTGACTTTGGTGTGTGCCACAGTGTCGGGTTATTGTGAAACAACCTGGGTATAAACCTGGTGCTTGTGAGCTGCAGATATGTGTTGCCAGAAGGTTTTCATAAATATCTTTTGTATGGTGTATTTTACTTCCCTGATAATTTTTTTTTTGTACTACTGCATTTTTACTGGAAACAGCTAGGTTGTTTTATCTGTTAAAAGTTTTGGCCAACTTCAGTGCTGACATTTGAATTCTCTTCCCTTTTCAGTATCAAGTTGGGCAACTTTACTCTGTGGCAGAAGCTAGCAAAAATGAAACAGGAGGTGGAGAAGGCATTCAAGTCTTAAAAAACGAGCCTTATGAAAATGATGGTGAGAAGGGACAATATACTCACAAGATCTACCATTTAAAGAGGTGAGGAAAACGTTTGATGAACACCGTAGTCACTTTGTTGTGAGGGCAGCCTTCCATTGTTTGCCGTTCTAGGACACTTGCTTGTGTCTTTCTGCCACTTTAATTTGCTGAATTGTGCATGAATGCTCTGGTGAGTGGGAAAACATGTGAAATATGGTGGATTTTAAATATATGAGATGGAGCATTACTTGTGTGGGACAGCCGAAGGAGTTGTGTTTGCTTGCTCTAGACTGAGGAGTCAAAGATGAGGGGAACATGAGGTTCCTGCCTTAATTATCAGCTGTTTTTTTTCCTTGCATCGAAAAGAAAAAAAGCCAGGAACTTATTTACCATCCTTGGGGAAAAACTGAGGCTGGAACACTTACCTAGATTGATCTTTGTCTGTCCCTTACGCTCGTGTGTATGTGGAGTTTGTTTAAAGTTGCCTCCTTTAAGGACACCACCCTCCAGCATTCTCGTGGGTAGCACCAAATTTCTCTTGTAGCAGATTTTGTTACTTTTCTCCCCGGTGTCCAATTCTTGGTCCCTGTCAGAGGCACTCTGTTGGGTAAGAGAGGGCAGTTATTGTCAGGGGTGGTAGGTAATTCAGTTGCTCTTGGAGAGCTGCAGGTCTCCTCTTCAGGCACAGTTGCAGACCCTGCAGGGCTCCCCCTGGGCTGCAGGTCAGGAGCTTGAGGGGAGGGCTCTGCCCAGTGCTCTCCCTCAGCAGGTGTCTTTGCTGCTCTGGAAGAGGAAAGACAGCACAGCTTTCATCAGGATCACAAAGCTCCTGCTTGTTTACTTATGATTACCTTAACCATTTTTTTCCTCATTATGTTGTGATCAGGAGGGGTTTTGGAGTTTCTGGGTATTTCACTACATGTGCATCATAACATTTCAAATGCTTGAGTAGAATGTGCCCTTCTTTTTGGAGTGGAAGAAGCCAATGAGGAACTTCAGCTGGCAGAATTTTTAAATGTTGTCCTTGTTTGTTTTTCCCAGTAAAGTCCCTGGCTTTGTAAGGATGATTGCTCCAGAAGGCTCCCTGGTGTTCCACGAGAAAGCCTGGAATGCATATCCCTACTGTAGAACAAGTAGGTCTCCCCTTGTGTGTTCTGCTGTCGGTGTTCAGGGAAGGGATGGGCTGAAGTGGTTTAGAAGAGCGGGGCCATGGAGAGGAAGATGCATTTCAGATGTTCCTGCTGTGTGTGTGGAGTCTCCTCTGGAAAGGAGAGCTGCTCCTGGGGCTGCTCAGGTCCAGGGGCCTGCAGGGACCTGGCATCCAGTGTCCTGGGATGGGGGCAAGGAGGGGATTCCCTTCAGGGCTAGGACAGAGCCTATGTGAGAATCACTGTATTTTCATAGCCTGCTAGAGCTGACTGCTGGGTTCGAATGTAGTAATTGTAATTTCTGAGAGTAGGCTGGGAGTAGTTTGTGTCTGTTTCTGTTGAATAGTTTGAAGTGTCCTGGAAGGAACTCCCAAGGTTAAGGCCATCAAGTCAAAGTCTGCTGGGCTCTGCTGTGATGCCCACAGCTGTTGTTCAGACTGACTCTATTGTACTGGGGACCAGTTATATGCTAGACTTTTCAGAAACAATTGTGTCTAATATGATTCTTTTTTTCCTTTTCCTTTTCATTGCACGGTTTTCCAACGACCAGTTGTGACAGTGAGTATTTGAATTTCTACCAGTCCTGTGTGGGGTTTTTTGAGATAATATTTTGTCTGCTATTACCACTACAGTTCTCTGGCCCCAGCCAGTCATATGTGCCTTGCTAGGGCTCCTGGCATAGAGCTCTCTGTTACTTTATTTGTCTGCACATGGCTATAATTAGAAAGAACTGTAATTTGTAAGAGAAATTATTTCATTTTTGCCATCTTCTTTTATGCCTTTACTTACAATTACAGCTGCATAATATCTGACCTGGTAAGACATAATGCTAAAAAGGGAGGGGGAAAAAAACCCACACCAAATTAGAGGCTTTTACCCTCTTGAACGCTGGAAGAACAATGAAATAGAATCATTCCCTACCTGTCTGAAATGCCATTGCTGTAAAGTGAATTCCTGCCTCAGTTAAAATGTGGTAATTGGGAATCTAAATGGATCAGCAGAGCTCAGGGTTTGGGTTTGCTTTTTTAAGATGCATGGGAGGGACATCATTAAGACTTTAATGCCCAGTGTATATGTTTTAGTGGCCTGTATAAGGACACTTACAAGTTAAATGTTAAACTGCTTTATCTGCTCATTTGCAAACGTCGTTTAGGTTGTTACCAGGTAGATGCAACACAAGTGAGTTTGAACTCTTGAGCTTGACTCATGGTACTTGTGCACACAGGTCTGTGCTTTCTGACTTCTGGGATCAGCAGGATTCTCTGATAGCCTTTAGATGTTCAATTTAGTGGTGACCGGACCTTTATGATCATTATTCTGCTGTGCAGTAACATCTAACTGCAGTATTAGTAATTTGAAAATTACTTGAACTTAGAGGTAAAGAACTTCAGGGTTGAGGAACCAGGACAGCAAATGGCAGGGTTATTTCTATTGGTGTGCACAGCTAGAGCTGGATTTCTCAAACATACTGCCCCATCTTAAGATTATCATGTACCTATTTCTGCGTGTAGGTGAGGGGGCTGTTTCTCTGATAAATTAAATAGGTTGGTTTGCTAGTCAAGGCTTAGTAGTGGCTTGTATGTAGATACCATTTCTCTAAACTTTAGGCATAGAGGTGTAATCAGACTCATGCTTTTTGCTTTTAATTCTTACAGAATGAATACATGAAAGACAACTTCTTCATAAAAATTGAGACCTGGCATAAACCAGATTTGGGGACAACAGAGAATGTGAGTTGGGGTTTGGATACTAGACCTTAGTGCGACTGTATAGTTGGTACAGATAAAGTATTCTATACCTGGTAATGGTGGATAATTACTGCATAAAGTCAATGCCTGACCAGTAAGCAGAGCAAGAAAAGCATTATTCAGGTCCTTGCGAGGTGGTCAAGCTGTCTCACCTAAGGAGATGCAAGGACAAGAGAAGGTTTTTGGGTTTTAAGGTGAGGTCAGTGCAGATGCTTGATTCTCACACAAATATTTAAATAACTTTTCAGCAAGTTCTTTGACATGCTAGTGATAGTTAGTCTGACAAGTTTATTTGAAAACAAGTTTTACAACAGGTTTCACGAGACCATTGGAGCTGATCTGTGTACAGTCTGCAGTTAGATATTGAAGCTGCCTTTGTAAATTGTCCCAGCTGGCAATATTCTCGTTTTCCTCCCCAGACAGTTGATTTGATTCACAGGTCACTTCAGGGTAATTTTGATCTGTAGTGACGAACATTTGTAAACCATCCACAGAATTGCCAGTCTGTTTCCAGTGCTTGGATGAACTGTAGCACTGGATGTGCTGCACAGAAAGGGAGTGTTCCTTGGGCAGCTCTGCTGCTGTAACTGAGTTTAGGTGTGTTGGACAGACTACGGGTGTGGAGCTGATTTCATCCTGAGACCTTTGCACACCCTCAGACCACACACACTTCACCTGGTCCACATTCAAGGCAGCCCTATGGTTCAGGGAGCCTATGAGATCAGCCAGGTTATTGAAACATGCATATTTGCACTTGGAATTTGTACGGCTTCTTTCTAGCTCAGAAAGCTCATGCAGATTAAGGAACGGGTAATGGCTCTAATTAAAGCCTGATTTCATTAGTGCTAACAAATGTGGCAGATGAATACAGCTTAATTTTAAATCCAGGTTTCCTGAATGCACAAGAAGTGAAGGCTTTGTGCTGGTTTAAAATCGATTAGCGAGTGAATTAAACTGTAGCTGTGCAGATCATTCCCTTTGAGAAAGGCAGAGGAAAAAAGGGTAGGTTTGGAGAACGCTACCTTTATGTAATTCTGAAAATCTCCATGGCACACATATGTGCTGCACAAGGTGCACCACTGTGTAACGTGCCAGGAATCATTCCTTTTTCTCTTTCTGCAGGTGCACAATTTAGATCCCAACACGTGGAGGAGTGTTGAAGTTGTCCATATTGATATTGCAGATAGAACTCAAGTAGAACCAGGAGTAAGTAAATGCTCTTCTACTGGGATATAGATGCAGCTTGCAGCTGATTGCACTGCTGGTTAGTGTTGATTGTGAATAAGCTAAAGTGGGGTGAAATTTCACCCAACAGAGATGTGAAAAGTATCTTAAACAGAGTCATTCCTTTATGTGCCTCTCTTCCTTTTTTTTAGTGCAGATGCTTTCTGCACATCTGGATCTGTTGGGGCTGTTGTCTGGTTTGTTTAATTGTAACAGTTGGACTGTTCCATGTGTAATAATTTTTGGACAGTAGAGGAATGGTAGGCACTAATATGGAGAGTATCAAAACCATGAGTGCAGAGTGGTCTCACCCAAAGTCTTAAATCTCTTCTGATGTTGCCACATTCTGTTTCCTTTTTACTAACTTCTAACACCATTTCCACTTTTAGCAAATATTTTGAGGAGGTATTTTCAGATTCAAACTCACAGTGTAGCCCATCCTTGTGTAGGAATACTTGGGATTAGTTTTCACCATGTGATTCAAATTTTCATTTCCATTTCATCTCCCAGAAACTCAGTTTTGCAAAGTCCTGACTTCACTAACCAAAGCCTGGCTTTATGCTCAGACTCTTAGCAGACTCTGGTAACTCTGAATTACCTGCAGACTCACACCCCTGCCATTGACCTGTTTGCCCCTTCTGGGATTAGACAGCAGGAATTCTCTGGATCCCACACTTGGAGTCTCTTCTGGCCTGAAAATTTGCATTTTCTGGCCTTTATCTTGATCAATTTTAGGTAATGGAACTTGAATTTAGTATTTTTTTTGTAGTTCAGCGACATTATAGTAACAAAATTGCCCTGACTGACATGTTGGCTTTGTGCCTTCCGAGAAGGCTGCTGGTCTTGGAAAGTGAAACCATCACCTGTTTTCCCTGTGTTCTGTTTGTCTAGAGGTTCTTTTCCTGCTGTTTCTTTATCTTTGTTCGGTGATATTCAAGCAATCACCAGTTCACTCAGTGGGGTAATATCTGAAATCATGTGCTTTGTATGGTTTGGGACTTTTTTGTTACGATGCTTGTTTGGGAACTGTCATTCTGAGTGGCTGGGTGGGTCTTTTGGTGTGCTGCATTTTTTAGGGAAAAGCAATAGTCAGGGTTGCTAAAGGAAAGTTTTATTTGTACATTTATCTTCTCAGACATTGTTTTGCCTGGAAAAGCAGCTCAAATGTACGACCTTGGGTAACAGTAGGACTGAAAGAATGGAGCTACATTTAAAATCTAGCAATTTTGATAAAAGTTTGCATATATTCAAGATTTATCATTTTGTTCAGTGAGTGACATTGTCCACCCTGCTGCAGTGTAGTTTCAGAGCTACAATTGGCATAAATATAAAAATAGTAAATTTCTTTGGGCTACTAATGGCATGCATATGCTAACTCATGCTCATTAAAGTATGTATAGAAATAATTTGGCTGACATCTGTGACTTTCTTTCGATAAAAAGTTAACCCTGCCCATTCTTAATCATCTCCAGCATCCGGTCCATGTCACTTTATGTGATTTGTATATAAAAATTACTTCCCAGGAGAGAAAGACTTTTTAAAGAGTAAGCAAAAGTGAACCCTCAATTAACATCAGAAGAGGCTGTGGTTTTGGAAACAATTTGTAGGAAAGCAGAGTGTAGCAAAAAGAAATTGAAATCAGATTTATAGCTATTTCTGTGCAACGAAGAAATTAAACGTCTTGTTCTAGGTCACAGTGGATCTTCACTGTATTACTTGAAAGAAAGTTATAGAACTACAATTTTGTGCTCTAATTAGTCAGATTACTTTACACATGCCTTAAGAGTTCAGATTTCTGTGTGCTATCTATCCCTTGTTCTTCAGTTTGAGGAAATGTACTGGAAATGCTCTTCTGTAGTCTGTAAGGAAGTGTTAAAAGATTCTTGAGTTAAAAAGTTTGATGGGTGGATCTCTTCTATTTCAGACTTAATTTATCATTTGAATCATTACATGATGACACATCCCATGGAACAACCTATCAGTGTATAAATCAGATGTACCTTTAGCTTACTAGTGTTTTCCTCTCCTCTTTTTGTTTTCCATCCCTGAGTAAGGCTTTTTCATCCTGTCATCTTCCAACCTCCTTTCTGGAGACCTTTTAACTTCTCGTTCCGAGTGTGGCACCACCACGTGCATCCACGATGAGATAACCAGGCTGGTTTCATTTCTCATTTGAACCTTGGCGTTCTTTCAAAGGTGATTTCAGAGAATGGTTTCCCTGATAGCTGTGCTGTAGCTGCAGGACTCTTGAGGAGATGGGACTGACTACAAGACATTTTTGATTAAAAGCCTTTTAGCCAAGCCTACCCAAAACACAGGCTGCATGTCAGTGAAGTGCACACTAATGCTGGTGGCTGTTTCAGTTATAAGACGTGGGAATCTGACTTGGAAATATGATATACTTGGATAAACCTGATTTTGAACTTCTGTTGTGCTGTGAATGAGTGCTCACAGAGCTGTGGATCATGTTGAGGGGAAGTGCTGATGGGTGTTCCCTTCAGTTTAAAACACTAATGCAATATTGAGCTGAAAAGCTGGACTTTGTGTCCACCTGCCTAGTTAGTGTGATGCCACTGTGTGTTCAGGAAGTGCTTTTCATGAATTTGCAGATCAGGCACCGGACTTGTGTAACTTTTATGTTAGGTTCAGAAAGTTTTCTTAAAATCATTCTGTCCTGTACATAAGTTTTCAGTTTTTATACTTCTTGATAGTGAACTGTGAGCTCTCAGGATTATTGTTACCACTCTGAACAGGTCTCAAAACAGAGTGAGAATTCTAAAGAAGTGCCTGGGTTGTGGGTTTGTTGTAATATTTATTGTATGGGGTTCATGATCTCTCTAAATAATTCTTTTCAGTAGATTGTTGCATTCATGCATATTATGTTGAGAATTTGAGCAGAAACTGCCTGTGAAATTATACTTGTGTATTTCTTTGAAATGGTTTTAGCTCCTCTATCTTGTTATGCTGCTGCATGCTGATGTTTGCCTGTCTGGCTTTCCAGAGGGCTTCGGGGGTTTGAGCTGTAATATTTGCTCCAGCAGCTGCCTGCTTTTCTTCCTAAGAAGGACTTGCTGTTGTCAGGAGTTAAGCTCTTGCTGCACAGATATTTTCCTTAAACTCTGCAAAGAACTGTTGTTTATTTGTACTTTGGCTCTAGTCCAGTCTTCTTCCCTGCGTGCTGGTAGGGTTTGTGTGTGGAGCAGAGTTCCTACAATGCTCTCCTGTCCATCTAGGCTTTAGTCTATACGGGGTTTTGTCTGTCCTTAACAGGGTTTGGGTTAACTGAGTTCTGAAAGGTCTTGGTTCAAAGCTTCTGTCTATAGCATAGAAAACTTTACCATGACTTATCTAATTTCTTTGAACTTTTGTTTTCACTCCTACATTTTACTCCTAGATAACATTTTGTTCCCCAGTGCTTCCAGCTCTGGTTATTTATGAGTGGGTCCCAAATGCAAGAACACAGTTGCTTTTTACCAATGTCCCTGTGCAGTGGGAGGTGGGATGGCAGGTAACAGCATCGTGTGGGCTTGGGTGTCCCTGGAGTATCCAGGCAAATCATCCCACAGCATAAACCAGGCAGATGAAGGTTGCACATGTAGGTGAGTTTAAATGCCACATGCCCCACACCACTGTAGTGTGAGCTCTGCCTTGGCAGGGTATTCACACAACGGAAATAAATTCAGGCTTGTCTCAATGCAGTACCTGTTTTTATTTACAAAACTGGCACTAAGATGTGGATTCTTGTATTTCTGTTTAGCACATCACTGCCCCAAAACAGCAGCAATAGTTGTGCCAGCAATTAGTTATCTAGAGCAAAATTGTTTATCCGTTACTATAGCTTGATCCTTTTCCATGTCTTCCATCCAGTGGTTGAGTGCAATTTTTAAAAGGCAGTCATGATCAGTAATTTAAAACATTCAATTTATTTCTATAAAAACACTCTGCTGTAGTATTTGCATAGATTTCCTATAGGTGATTTATATGTAAAGAAAATGCCTCCTTTTCTACCCAAGGGTTGTTAAAAAAAAAAAGTGTATCACGTTGAGTCCTCCAGGACATGCAGAACCTGAGGATTCCAGTGGGTTGCAGCTGTCCTCTCCCACAGTATTTGGAAATAACTCATGAGATGAGAAGTCTGCAGCTGGTGGCAAGTCCTGTGAGCTGTGTGGCTCCCTGGCTCTCTCCTGGGCTCCCAGAGGAGTCAGTCTTGGACACAGCCAGTGGCTCCAGCTCACTGTAGTGAGCCCTCTCAGAGTGCTGTGCTCACTGCTGAGTTGAGGTAGGGCTGGATATCGTGTGCTGCTGTGTATCTACTCTTTTTGATGTCTGTGAAAAGGAAGTGTGCTTTACTGCAGTAAAATCATAACTAAGTGGGGTTTACTGAAATTCAGGTGACAAATATGTCTGTTAGTCTTTCTGCAATTACAGTAACTTGAGTGGACTTTAAATGTTTCAGTGTTACTGAATTTCAGTGTTGCTGTGCGGGTTCCTCGGGCTGTGCCCTGGGGCAGGCGAAGGGTTGGGGAGCACTGTGGCAGCCCCTGCTGAGGCTGGCTGGCTCAAATGTGGGCTCTTCAAATAAAACACGTTGTTTCAGTTAAGAGGGAGAACTAGAGGGAGCTCCTGGTTTGTGGAAGTTCATAAAACCTTGATTAGCAACGTGATTGGAATGTCTTGACTCACTTGGCTGCTTCTAGGAAATATTTGTTCCAGTTCCTAAATTTTGATTGTATATGTTTGAACTCTCCATATGGAAGTTTGAATAGCTAGTAATGCTTTCTAGATATATTAATTACAGAATGGCTGGAAAAATCTATTACAAGGTTTCCTCAGCCTCCTTTAATACACAGTGTAGGTAGGTATATTAAAAGAACTGGAACAATGAAAGAAAACTGGGGAGAAGGAAGTGCAACAGCTGATTTTCTGTAAGTGAAGTTAGATTCCTCTGAGAGGACCTCCTGGATTTTCCAGTTCCATCTGCTTGCAAAAGGTGATTATAAATGTCAGAGTGGCCGTGAAAGCTTTAACAGGTAATTTGTGTAGCCTGGCTTTGTGGATTCGGAATTTCAGTCCAAAAGTAGCCTTTGTTCCTCTGTGCTGATGGAAGAATCTGGAGCTGAAAAGTGATGTGGTCCACGTGGTCTTCAGCAGCCAGGAGCTTCTTCTCTTAGAGGTGTTTCTTTCACTCCATGATCTGCAGATCTTGTCCTCGTTGAAACTTTATTTAAAAATGAAACCTTAAACTCTGCTAAAGTTTCTTGGTCTTTTCTGTATCACCCACCAAGCATTTGTTCTGCTTTGAAGCAACTTAAATTGTTACAGTTCTCCTGAGTTGCATGAGTGTAGTGGTAATCTTGGGTGGATGTTTTTCATACACTGTATAAACCTCATTTCTGAATCTTTGCTTTCTCCTCCCCTCAGAGGTCCAGCCATCCTGCTCCACAGCACTCAGGGAATCACTTTGGCAGTCGTGGGCAGAAGCTTCATGCAGTGGGATATTGAATCTGGTGGAGTTTTCTTACTGTAAGTGTGTTTTATGTTACAGGACTACAAAGCTGATGAAGATCCTGCATTATTCCAGTCAGTTAAGACGAAGAGAGGACCTCTGGGGCCAAATTGGAAGGTATGGGGAATGGGTGTTAGAGCCTTATGAAGTCTTTACTAGCGGAAAAACAGAGTTCATGGTTCCTTCAGAATCTTGCTCAACTCCAATTCAGGAAAAAATTCAGGCCCAACACATCCTCCATGGACCCCAGTGACATCCCAACAGCAGCACAAAGCTTGCCAGTACCCCTTGCCCCTGCCAGCCACCAGAATCCATGTGCATGCCATCCCAGGAGGGAAGGGACTGTGTGTGCCACACCAGAGATCTGAGCAGCTCACTGCTGTGCTCTGGGGTGAATCACAGGCAGTCTGTCAGGAACAACCCCTAGTTACTGATCAGAATTACCTTTCTGTAATAATACTTAGAATTATATTTCATAGTTATTATAACACAGGTAAATTCCATTCATTTACTGTAAATTAATTATATATTTTATAATTCTATTCCATTAATTACAGTTATAATTTCTAATAATTAAAGTAAATTTTTTAAAATTTAAAACTTCTTTCCCGTTGTCCCCAAATAGAAAGAGCTAGCAACTGATGAGGAGTGTCCCAAAATGTGTGCTTACAAGTTGGTGACCATCAAGTTTAAGTGGTGGGGACTGCAGAACAAAGTCGAAAACTTTATACAAAAGGTGAGTGCTCCTGCCTTGTGTGGTAGGGGGGGCTGTGTTGATGTGGGGGTTGAGCAGAAAAGCGATGCAATTTCCTGTCCATTCTCCCAGCCAGTCCAATGATTTGTGTCTTGCTCTCCTACAAATGGGGCTTCACTGGTGGTACCAGAACAGCTCTCTAAGGGGAAAAAATCAAAGTCTTCAGGAAGTCCTTGTTCTGGTTTGTCAGCTGCCACCTTGGAGCTAAAACAGATTTTAAAAGGATCCTTCATCATTTTCAAGTAATATCAAATGATGAACTTTCTTGAAACTTTTTTTTTATAGTGAAATCTGTTCATTTTTTCCATGCTAAAGCATGTGAGAAATGAGGGTTTTTAAATTGGATCCAGGGGTGTGAGGGGGCTGAACCTGTAGCAGTGTGAAACAGCACGCACCTGAAGATTGTAGCTCTTCAGCAGGCGCAATCACTTCACCAGCCTTTGGCAAGTCCTAGGCCTATGATCGATCTAATGCTTGTTTGTCTTCTTAAAGCAAGAGAAAAGGATATTCACCAACTTCCATCGCCAGCTGTTCTGTTGGATTGACAAGTGGATTGAGCTGACTATGGAGGACATTAGGAGAATGGAGGATGAAACCCAGAGGGAGCTGGAAGCGGTAAGAAAGATTTTTTAAGGCTTAGATGTGGGTGCTCCCACCTGTAGATTTGTCTGTTTGGAAGCTGAGGCGAGTTGTGTTGTGTCCGTGCCTGTGTGTGCGTTTGGGCAATTGCTGATGAACAGTGTGGCCCCTTTGGTGATCCTCCTGTGCAGCCCCAGGTGCTTCAGGCTTCTGCAGCCTGTGCTCTCAAGCTGGAAGTGGCTGTAAGGTAAATATCTCTGGTGTCATTAAACCCAGAATGCCTACCCTGACTACCTCCGTGTTTATGGCACCACACCCATTGCACAAAGTCCCATTCAGGGCCTTCTTGCTGCTTGTTGATTAGAAGTCAGAGCTGCCACCTTCCTGTTCCATCACATGTCTTGCTGTGTTTTATTTCTAGTCATCACTAGATCTGATCACTTTTTCTCTTCAAACATGTTTTCAAGCAAGTCTGTGTCACGTGTCAGCTGTTCCACTCCTAATTAGCAGAGCAAACCAAAATTTTACTTCCAAAAAGCAAGTCACTAAAATTAACTGAGATGGTGTCAGTTTTCCTGCTTTAGTGGCTGTGAGGACCAAATCTCTATATCCTGACGTGGGCTGATATCGGGGAGGAAGCTCGGACATAGGGATTTGTCACTGCTTTCCTTTCAGAGGTGGACCACCAGAACAGGCTGGGAAGGGAGCTGTCTTCTGTAGTGTCTTTCCAGAACATAACCTTTGGCATGAACCTTTCCCGTGTAAAATCCTCATGGCGATTTGCAGGTTCTTTGCAGTCTTTGGATTTGCAGTTGTATTTCACCCCATTTTGACAACTGCTTTATGCCCCAAACCCAGTCAGGTTGCCACTGCCCTTGCACTGTCTTGGTTCTTCCAAAACACAATTTGTCTTCAGCTACAACTTGCTTTTTGTGTGGCTGGACTCATTCCAGACACTCTAACCACGTTGCCCGAGGTTCAGCCCAGCAGTGGGCAGGGCCCTGCGGCGCGTTCTGCGCTCTGTGCCTGGTACCTCTGTGCTGTTGGTACCAAACCAGCTGCAGCTCCTCCATCCTCACTCGTGCTCTTTGGGGACTTTCCAAACTCTGTGGAACAGCCTGTATATGTAGGGATGTTCCCTAGGTTTGGAGGAAGCGTGTCTTCACGGTCCTGTGCAGCCGTAGATAGATGTGCTGAGCTGGTAGCACCGAATGTTCTTCTCCCATAATCTGGAGGGCTTGGCTGAGTCAGCAGCCCCAGAATAAGCTTTGGACAAGATTGGTCTTCACTCACTGATGCGGACCTTGTGCACTCTCATGGGCATTTGAGCATTTTTGGCAGATGTTCTCTCAAATCACAGGGATTTCTTCTTGAATTCTACTTTATCCTGTTCCTAGAGCCGCCTGTTCCCAGGTGTCTGTGAAGGAGGAGGCATAACCACTTTCCTCTCTAGACTGATTTTTGCCAGAAGGGTCCCCTTTTGCACACCTGTAGTTCTTTATTCGAAGTGAAAAAGACTTTATCCAGTTTCCTGATCTAGGGTAGTGGCAGTGAGGGGTGCTCAGCAGGGGTGTGCTGGAGAGAGGCAGCACAACCTGACACACCTGTGTGCACGAGGAAATTGTTCCTTTGTGTGTCTGTGGACTGTGGATGTTTGTCTTCTTGTAGAGAAAGTTGTTTCACATTTCTCACTGGTAAGTAGCTTCTTTTAAGTATCTTTTTTCAAAACGTTTGCTGCTTTTTAGTTCTCACATTAAGCCAAACCCAGTTCACATGTCTCTGGGTGTAACGTTTATCCTATTTTTAAAATATCAAATATATTTATTTAATATTTTCTCGTTTTGTCAAGCAAGGCAAATAATTTTTTGCAAATAGCTTGTTGCGTAAGATATTGGCATCAGAAACTTGTGTACTGTTGAAAAAGCCTTTTTTTTTTCAAATGTATTGATGTTACACTAACCCAGATTTCTGTGTGTATTGTGAAATGTGAGAGGAGCAGGGACCTACTGTTTCAGGGTTTTCTCTGCTGTTCCAAGAGGGGTACCTACAAACACCTGTAAATGATGCGATTTCAAGGGGTTTGTGATGAAGTGCATTATTGGAGAACATCATAAAGGCAAAACTGTCACTGCCAAATAATCTGAATTCTAGCTTTTTCCCAATTAATGTCATATTGTTTCATATTCCACTACTCCATCCATTGTGCTCACCAGTAACTGCCATTACATCCCCAGTACACCACAAAGTGTGTTTTATGGCCAGGACCTCTGAGAAGTGAGTGCTCAGGGATGAGGTGCTCAGTGTGACAGATACCTCGGTGCTCCCATCCCTGCAGAGCAGTCAGGCATGGACAGGGCTGCACTTCTGTGTGGCTGAAAGCCAAACCAGGCACAAAGCAGGGCTGGCACTGCATGTACTTTCCCACATGGCTTCCTGGTGCTCTTCTACTTCTCATGAACACCCTTTCTTCCTCCTGCTCCGAGCTGATCTTTCTCTGGATTCTGTGCACATTCCAGTTCTTTTGTTGCTCCTGTGCTTCATCTTCAGTCAATTTTTATAGTCAGGATCTCTGCTTTTGTTACTTTTCTGTTACTCTCTGAATCCTCATCAGTGTTCTTCCAGTTTCTTTATCCCAGCCCATCTTTTTCTCACTGTTTTTCTTTATCTCTCACTTGGTTGTTTCTGTCTCTGGCTCCTGGAGATGAGAAGCACCTCTGCTCCATGAAACACACATCAGCTCATCAGTGCAGAGTAGGAAAGCACCCGGCCCAGCCAAAGCCCTGTGACCAACCTCCCTCACATTTGTGAGAGGGCAGAGATGGCACACTGGGTATCCTGGACAGTGGCTCCATGCTGGAGCATCGTGGGCCAGTAAAAATTCAAGCAACATTGTTTACAGTTGCTGTCCAGTTCCCAGATCTTGCCAAAAAGAAATACTATATACCCTCTGTTCAAAACCCCTGAGCTGTAGCTGGTCCTGGCTGTGGCCAGGGAGAAGCAGTCCTGGCTCTGTAGATCGTTCCTTCTCTCGTACTAACCATGGCACGACAGGTTCTGTGTGTGGAGCTCACATTTTATTTCACTCCAGATGCGTAAGAAGGGTTCCGTTCGAGGCACTTTGGCTGCGGACGTCTAGAGGAGTTCTCTGTAGGTTCTGAGGCAAAGCAAGCTGTGTAAGTCAACTGCTGGATGGAAAAGGAGAAGAGGGATTAATGTTCTGATGGATGGGAATTGCTGATAGAAATCATTCTAATAATCCACATAACATGTGTGGCCTTGCCTTGCTCCTGCTCGATCCTGTTGTGGTGATCAGCAGGCGGGACTGACCCGTGGTGCCCAGGGCACACCACACAGGCACTGCTGCAGGCGCTCAGGCCGGGACAGAATTCCTGCAGCGTTGGCCACCTGCCCTGGTGCCTGGTGCTTACCCAGTGCAGACACCTGAGGTGTGGGGCCTGCTGCCGCCGTGGCGATGGCATCGGGCCCTGGCGCCCGCCCCTGTCCTTCTGGGCACCAGTTGGACACGTCGGCATCGCTTTGCTGCATGCACAGGAGCAGAGTGATCTGTGGACTTGGTCCACCTCACTTAGGGAACTTGTGGAGTATCACCTTCCAACCACTTTCAGTTCTTGAAATCCAGTTCCACCCATTATTTACAGACACTAAACCATTTCTGCAGGAGCAGGTTCTCCAGGAGTTAAAGGCTCTTGGTTCTTACGCCCAGCACTTCGGTGCTGCTGTTCCTCGCAGGGACTGTTGTAACACTGCTGGGAATCCCAGCCCAAGGGTGCAAAATCCCACTGATCCATGTGAGTTCCCCAGTGACAGGGGCAGCTCCCACCCCTGGGAGCAGCTCCCACCCGAGGACAGCTCCAACTGAGATTCCCTCAGGAGCCGGCATTGCTTTGGTGTGACTTGCTCAGTCCCGGTGGTGTTCTGACAGCCCTGCCCTGGCTTTCCCTGGAGATAATTTCCCTGCCTGTTTGGAATTCTCTGTCTTGAGGAAGGTGGTGATGTGGAATTTGTGTTTTCTCTCTCCACAGCTGCGTAACCAAGGCCAAGTGAGAGGAACGAGCGCTGCCAATGACGAGTGACGACGGACGGATGCCGAAGCCGGATCTCGGATGTGTGTGTGGGTGCATGACTCTGTATATAACTATACACGCACATGCAGACGGAAGGGGTGGTTACAGTGTCTCCGGGTGCTATACCTGTCCTAGCAAAGATTCCAAGGAAACTGCTTTCATTATGTATACCCCAAGCAAATAAAAATCAACTGAGTAGTGTCATTTAAAGGATGAATTTTGCTAACTGGTATGTTCATGAATGTCAATACTGGACCAATTTCTGCCCTACTTGTTTTTTTTTTCTCCTGTCCGAGTCATTCTGCTCTAACTCACCCATCTCTCATTGTAAAGAAACACTCAAACAAGTTAATTTCGGTTTTATGTCTTCCCTATGTGATGAGTTTTGGAATAGGAACAATGAATGTATTTATAGCTATTTATTTCTGGATTGTCATTATCCTATAGTCAAATCAGAAGAAAATTTCTATTAGTGGAAATTGGAAGACTTTTACTGTTGAATAAGTTTAACCCAAACGTTACCCACTCACTGATTTAAAAGAAAAAACCCCTTGTTTTATTGGACTTTTGTACATTGAAATGCTAATGGTTTTTCTTCATTAAAATTGGCAAGATTAAGAAAAATGGTTTGTGATTTATAAAGTAATTGCAACTTGAAATTTTTCAGAAGTTGCTTTTTAGACAAGTATGCTGACAGTACTTGTAGAGCATTTCCAGGCAGTGAGGAGAGGGACAGCCCTTCTCTCCAGGAACACTCCTGCCTGGGCAGTGGCTGTTTTCCAGAGCTTCCCTTTGGAAGCCATGCACATGGTCTGGATTTCACACACAGCAATGGAATATAATTATGATTTTAGCTCTTTTCATGTTGAAAATACACTTTGGGAGATGTAGACTTTCAGATATGATGAAAGTTTCAGTTGTAGCCCTGACACATTTTCACGCTGTCTTGGAGAGCCCCTGGGGTGACAAATCCCTCCTGTAGGAAACTCCATAGGGAAAAGGTCTTCAGCATGTTTAAGAAACTATACTACTACAGCATATAACAGAGGGATATTATCCAAATGCTTGCTGGATCGGAGACAAAGTATTTCAAAAGCACTAGTCAGATAAAGTTCTATTTATGCCTGGTTTCCTCCCAGCACCCTTGGCAGGGCCAGCCTTGCCTGCGCTCCCGTCCTCGGATCCTCACACAGCCAGGTGCATTGGAGCCATTTCGGAAATGCATTGCTCACAGAAGGATCTGATTTCCATTACTCTCAGTGACAAAACGTTCCTGCACTGGCAAGGTGGGCCAGGTGGGCCGTGCACCTTGTCCTGGTGCTGCACGAGCCAGCACTGCCATGCCTGCCCTGCGCTGGTGCCTCACCCGCGCCATCGCACCTGCCCGCCCTCCAGGCCCCACAGCGTGATGTGTTTATGTTCCTTTCTGGGTTAGCACTTAAGTGGTTATTTGTCCTGTACCACCAGGAGGTTGGGTTGGTAAATACACACAGAGATATGGCACACACACACACACACACACAGGTCGTAGATGTGAAGTGCACACTCCCAAGAGGGCTGCACACCTGGAACCCAAGGGCTCAGATCTCCTCGGTGCTGCAGTTCGTGTCCCACCGTCGTTAATGTGTTGTAACACAGCTGGTGGGAAAGGGACCCTCTGACTTCATCCATGGATTTGGACTAGTTGTGAAAATTTGAGAGAATATTGTAGTGAATGTACAATGTTTAGTTTCCTTTTGGCAGTCTCTGGTGTGACTCACAGTAAAGCAGGCAATGAAATTTAATTAAATAAATTTGATCATAAAAAGCTCCGTCTCTTGTCTCAGGCAATGGCACTTGCAGTTTGCTCCCGAGCTGGTGTCTGGGGTCCCTGAGCTGTGCAGAGGGGTGGGAGTGCCCAAAGGCTGCATTGGTGGCTGCTCGGACTGGGTTTGGTTTGGGAGTTGCAGCTGAGCAGCGCATGTGCCTGGAACCCTGACGCTCCTGAGCTACCACCGTAACCTGCTGGGCTGGCAGAGGTGGGACGGGGCGGCAGGAGGGGCTGCAGGTGGGAGGTGCCTCCCACGGGGCACTGTGGGTGCTGACAGGGGTCTGGGTGTCCCTCTCTGGCTGGTCCCATTCCTGCAGTCTGCTCAGCACAGCCGAGCTCCGCTCTGGAGCTCTGCCTGCTCAGGTTGTGCGATCACCTGCTGCAAATGGAGACTTTTACGGCTCCTTTGGTAAATGCAGAATTGAATCCTTTCTTTACTACCAGCTTCTTCAGCTTCCAGATGGCAAACCAACAGGAAGCAATGGAAGTGCAACGTAGTTTTGTTATAATGGATATGTAAACGTGATACTTATTCACTGCAATAGACTGCTGTGAACCATATTCCAGCAGTAACCTTTGAAATCCATCACTTGACTGCACACAAGTGTGGTCTAAAAGAGACTTGTAAGGAATTTGCTTTTTTTTCTGGAGGATTTTCAATCATTGAAAAGAAAGAGGAATGTTTTCTGTCTTTTGCCTTTATCTGTAGACTGAGAAATGTCAGGAAAAAGTCTGTCAAGATTTTGGGTGTGTCGGGGTTTTCCCACCCTAGGGCCTTTCTAAGTGCTCTCTGAGCAATCTGAAAATGTCCCACAACACAACTTACTCTGCATTTCCAAACCTCAGTCAATTCAGCCATGTTTAGGAGCTACATCATGTACTTGCAAGTGTGGTGCTATGGTTTTATGGCAAATCTGAAGCGTGGGGCTGTGGCTGGGGTTTTTATTCATTCATGCAATTCAAGAGTCTTCTCCATGGAACTATGTCTTGGTAGAGACATCAAGAAAATATTTCCTTTGTAGTTTTGTAACTTTGTATGAAAGACTTTCTACTTGCTTGAATTGATGTGGAAAATGGATTTTAATCAACAGCATCTAATTGTCAATCAAGCAGAGATTATCCAGAGGCTGATGGCTGCTGTCCCTGTCACTGGGGTGTTTGACCAGTGGGGACATTTTATTCTTGGGAACCTCTTCTCCTTGTTACCTGCTGTGGGCAGAATTCAGTGTGCAAATTCTACCACAAAATTCTGGCACTTGCAATAGTTTAAAATATTATAATGTATAAATTATTATACATTAAATATATATATATAAAAATTATACCTCCAGGTTTTGAAGGCAGATTTTCAATGACTTCCACTTGAGGCATCACCTGCATGTGATTTGAGTGAAATCCTGATAGTCCAGGGAGCCTGTGGCTATTTGAGGTCTCAGTCTCTGGCAGTAGAGCTGGGATGTTTGCTGGTGCGAGGGGCTATGGTTTGTTTTGCAGTGCACCTGCTGAGAGTCTGGAGGTATTTTTGTCACTGTCTTGTGCCTTTTTTTGCTGGTACTTGTTCTGATACTTTTCCTTGTAGTCACTCTGTTTTGGTGTTCTTTACCCCACTTTTGCTAGATATGCTGTATTTTTTCAAAACCTCTCAGCAGGCACCAGCTGAGTCCTGGATGTGCTGCTGTTACCCCTTAGGGCCAGTATCTGCCATCCGTGCTTCAGAACAGCCTTGGATTTCCCACTGCTGTAAGTGCGGAAAGGTCTAATTTAATTTTAAAACTTTATTTCCTCAGGTTGTAGACATGTTTCTTTCCAGAATGCCACCTACCTTGATTCTTTAACTTTTCTCTCTGAATTTGCATGGTTTTCTGGCTTAAAACTGCATATCCAAAACACACAAGAAATTCAAGGTATTTGTTCAGTCTGAACTTTGTAGAGCTTCTCCAATCCCAGCTAAAATCTCAATATGCTAATTTAACAGATTTCCTAGTTTCATGAGCTTGGGTTTAGCACCCTCTAGAACAGCACCTAATGCTGCTGCTCCTTTTGCAAGAGTCTCTGTCTCCCTTGTTTCTCACAGATGCTCAGTCCAAGGTAAATTAAGGGAATGTGATTATCAGGACTTTGAAAGACCCAGTAGTTACCAGCTAAAATGTACCGTAAAAAGAACCCAGCTACGACAACAAGGGAAGTCCCTGAAAAAGGCTGGAAGCAAAATGACCATAATTGAAATCTGAAAGCAGCAACTTCATAGAGAAGTAAACGAAGAGGCGGCTCTTTGTAAATGATGATCTAAAAAGTGTTCTGGGTTGTGAGACCTCATTTCAAATGTATTCATTAAATAATATTTGAATCATTTAACAGTTTGAACTCTACTGCACTGCTAATATCTTCAGGGGATTTTTTTTCAGTAACAAAGACGCCTTTGTTTCCCGCTCAGTGCTTGGGCTGTGCCTTGGATATTAGTTGGAAACCTGATCGCCCGACATCGCTCCGAGGCTGCGAGTACAATGTGAGTCGTCTGCAACCGGGATTAAATCAGGCCCTTTGTAGGGATGCTGAGGGGCCGTGATGATGGTTATGGACAGCAGGAGGTCGTTAACCCTTTGTGCCTCTGGCGGGGAGATGGGAGGTTTGGGGGAGGCTGTCAGCGAGGTGCAGGGGCAGCTGGGGCAGTTGTGTGTACCAGCAAATAGCACCCGAGTAATTCCTGCTGGAAAGCAAAAAATGCCTTACGTGGGGTGGGTGAAATCGTATTGCCTGACCCAGTGCTTGCTGCCTTGGGATGCCACTTCACCACAGTGTGTGGGCAGGGGCAATTTGGGTTAAACAGGAGAAGTCAGGACTGTGAGCCAAGGTGCATCCAGCAGCTCCAGCGCTGTCCTGCTCTGCCAGGGCAGGCAGGCGCTGTCCTGCCAGTGAGGGAAGGGGAAGATGGGACCACAGTGTGTGGAGTCCCAGGGGACGACAGAACGGAGAAGGAAGCACCAAGGCAAGTGCTCTCATGAAGCTAATGCTTAGGGGAAATTAAATCATCAGGACTTTATAAAATAGCCTCTGGCTCTCTGCTTTCATAGTAGTTCAATTTATAAGATGATGAAAAATGAATTAACTTTGGTGGTTTGCTGGCATCACCCACAGTGAGCCAGACTTTCCACATGCTCAGAGATCTTTCCTGCTCCACCACGCTTACATAAATTACCACCTGGTTCAATTTTCAGAACAAAGTTGGTCATACAAACTCCACCATAAAACACCAAGAAGAGTTAAACACCGATTAGTGGTACAGAGAGGTGCCATTTCTTATTTATGCTTCACTGAGCTATTTTAGGAAACATAAAATTTTACTGTTCCTGTAACCAAACTAATTCTGTTGTGCTGTGTATATAAAATGTCTTTTTTTCCTTTCCCCTCCCCAGTGTGATCCTACAATGTGTGTGTTTTTGAGATGGGAATCTGAAGGGGAAAAATAAAAGCCCAAAGCAGTGCACTGCAGTCCAGTCGAGTTATCATGAATGGGAAAAATTGCCTTCGGGTTTCCCGTGGTTTTACCAAGGTACGATCTCAGTGTTGTATGATTTTAGCGCTATCCTGTTTTTTAGTCATCGAAGTTAGAAAAGTTTAAATGTGTTCAACATTCAACACCAAAATGTCCCACGTGCTGCAAAAGTTTTCACCTAAGTGGCATAAATGGGACACAGTATACTTAATTGCTGAAAAAAGCTCTTTGCAGCAATGGAAAAACCTACTGATATTGTGAAAACATCACGATCCATACTGAGGGACTTGGAAATCAAAACACGAAAGATACACAGCTACAGATTGCAGTGGTGTAAAGAAACTAAACCAGCTGACCAACCTTGCAAAACAACCAAACAGCAAAATCCTTGTAAAGGGCTGAGCTCCCAAAATGCTGTCAATCCCTGCAGGAAATTACTTTGATGGTTTTAGTCCTTTAACCCTGATTACTCAGTTATGCATTTTTTAAAATGGGAAGCAGGCAAGTGTCTGAAGGAGTTTGGTTCAAACTTTGCAGAAACAACATTGTTGGCAAAACTAAGCATGAAATCTTTACACCGGCAAAGTGAACTTCTTGAAAACTGAATGCAAATCAGGTTTCACAGATGAGATTGTCTTTAACCTCAATTACAAACCAGTCACTTCCAGACACTCAAGCAGGGAAGGACAAGGAGCGACAGAGGTCGGATCCCTGGAAGTCCCTACCTGTCGCCTTTTACCACAGTGCCCAGTGCCTCCCAGCTCAGCCGTGTGACTGTGCTGGGAGCAAGCCCCTGGGAGCCTGTGAGGCGCATGTGCCACAGCCCTCTGACCACAGCAGGTCTCCCTTCTGTTCTCGGGAGCTAAAGTAGGTGCACACTGACAGACACCATCCCCTCTGGAGCCATGCCTTCCCTTGGGAACCAGCTCCACGCTCGCTGCACTCGCGAGCTCATCTAATAATTTTACACATTCGCCTCCTGCATCAGTCCTGCCACCACCTCCGCTGTAGTTTTGACAGAGAGGAGGTGCAATGGTTTCCCTAAACTGTTCCAGGCAGAAATGCTGAAAAATTTCCCGCCAGAGTTGGAAACCTGTCCTTTGAGGTATTCCAATTCCTTTCACTGAATATCCCTGCTAGGAGCAGAAATCCCTGCCAAGAGAAGCCCATCATCTCTTTTGCAAAGTGGCTGTTGGGAGCCTCTGCTGCCAGCGACAGGGCCCACACCTGGCGCTGTGGGGACCTGGTGGTGTTGGTGTGGTTGCAGATGGCACCACAGAGGACGGGGAGCAGCTGCAACTGATATACCTGAAGCTGCACTAATGATAGGGTGCCTTTAGAGAGCTGGGAGTGCAAACACCACAGAGAAGTGAGCTTGGGTGCGCTCCACGGCAGGGTTTAAGAGGCTCTTGCTAAGGGCTGGCTGGGCTAAAGTGTCTCGAGCATATGGGCTTATTTTGTGCAGTTTCTGTGGTCGTTTCTTCGCTGGATTCTCAGTGGTAAT